TGTTCATAATGTAACTCACGTATGTCCCAGGAATATGCATGTACATCACATGAATGTTCCAGGTATATTCTGGGAATATCATTTTGCTATGTGGGTGTAAACCGACCGACTGGCTGCCCTCCTTACCGTTGCTGCGCTTTTTCGTTATTCCAAATATCAACCGCTTGATGGTGTCGACCATATCATCCAGCTCGTACATGGCGTCGTGTGGACTCGTGCCGAAAAAGTTCTTCAATTTGGGATCGGCCCCGTTTTGCAGTAGGGCGCGCACAATCTCCACTATAAACGACCCAAAATTGAGTAAGTCCACGGGAGGATTTTGCTGGTTGTTCACTCACCGTTCTGGGCCTCGGCGGCGTGGAATAGGGCTGTTTTTCCCGACCGTTGGTCACGCAGATTCACACAGGCTTCACGATCGATCAAAAGCAGCGCTCCCTCGGTCCAGCTGGATGCACAGCAGATCATCAAAGGAGTTAAGCCTGGAAAACCAAACACTTTGACACACACACAAAACTAAATAACACACTAAAATGTGCGCAGTTTTTCGCAATATTCAGCTGCAAATGAGCCAAACCCGTTTTTTTCTTAAAACGCACTTTTTCATTAAGCCCCGCTTGCTTTTCCACTATATTTGGCAAAAACCTGTAAAATTTGACGTGCATGATTTGCGAGTGACAGTGACACCAACCTGGACGACCGCGTCGGATCACTCCGGGCATTTTTTGAAAAATCGTTGAACAATGCGGCTTTATTAGTGAAAATTGGGCATTTTCCGAATCGGCAAACCGTCGGCATCCGATCTGTGGCAAAATCCCGTGCGGGAATAACAAGCAAATCCGAAAAACTCCGTTTATAAATTGGGCAATTTGTGACGTCTTCCGGCTGCTTCATGGAAAACCGCGACCATTTCCGACAAGTCCCGAACGGGCCCGAAGCCGACATTTGAACCAACCAACCGCCGAACGATTCTTGCGAAAACTTCCCACATTCTTGCGGTGAGATATTATCAACTTCCTCTTAACTATTTTAATAACAAAATTATACGGTAAACGACTTGTAGTGAGGCTTTCACTAATTATGCTCAATAAATCAACTTCTAACTCTCTCTTACCTTCAAAGTTGTAACTGTTAATACAGTCGAAGCACGACATGAAACAGCAATGGTTTAAAATCATTTGCATCGCGCCCAACCGCTCGAATTTTGCCGCTAAATGTAAAACGTTGTTGCCGTCACCATCGATGTCTTGAAGGTCCCCCCCAGATTCCAATAGAATAAACACGATTTCCACTTGGACATTGTTAACGATGGCCAGTTGAAGAGGCGTCTGAAAATTAAAAAAAAATGACCGATTAAGCAACGTAAAACCAAAAAAAAAAACAGTGGTTAGTTCTAATACTACAGGGTGGCTGATATGAAGGGTCCCCTAGCGAACCTGGCGTGTATCTCGCGAACTAATTGTGATCGATATTTGCAAATTTGACTGGTAATCGCCTTACAAGTTCTGAAAAACTATTCTCTTTTCTGATGAGTCAATATTCAAATTTGAGCAAAGTTTTCACAGCCAAAATGATCGTCTTTACTTAAGTGAGAGAGCGAGCGGAAACTGGAAGCAAAAAAGTATTTGGAAACGTGAACTCAAAGTTAAAGCCACAATCGACCGTAAAAAAGTTTTAGAAGGTTCATTGAATCCCTGGGCAAGACTCAAGGAATATTTCAAAGCAATTTTTTAAGTTGATTATTTGCAAAACAGTTTTTCTCTTCAAGTAAATAAAATGATAAAGCAACAAATAAATTACACGCTTTTAATCATTAGACACTTCATATCAGTCAGGCGGTATATAAATAAGCCATATGGAGTCAAACTTCCTGATGACGTGTAGTTAATTTTGACATCTTGTGGAGGGGAAGAATGTCAAGCACGTTTGGAACGTATGAACCACTCATAGCCAGGAATTGTTGACTACAAATTTGGCAAAGAACACACCAGTAGTTTAATGATTGGCTTTGTTCAATGATTGCGGACAAGACTGTGTGCTCCTTTTGCCAAACTCCCCATAAATGTTTGCTTTCTGTTTCGTGTTGTACACAAAATTTATCGCTTTCGAACAATACAAACCAGTACGTTGTATTCTCGTGCGAGAACAATCTTCGCATCTCAATGAGGTCATCTTTTTTTTACAATTTATCTGCGATTAATTTGCTTATCATCTGAGTAAAGCGCATAGTACAAGGACAGTCGTTGTCGCGTTGAGTTCGAAACTACTTGAATTCGAAAGACTCGATGGATATCGTTGGTTTAAAAAAAAATCCTACTTGCAAAAAACAAAGTTTGCATTGCGATCGTGCAATATTACCAGTCCCGAACGGCCTAACCATAGCAAGACACACCGGTTGCCCGGGCAACGGGCGAGTTTCACTGTCGAGTGCAGGCCGAACGAGGCCGAAGCGCTGTCGGGTTTTATCTAGGTGATGCCAACACGGGCGGACACCAACTGCACGATGGGAAATAGCAGAATTTGGCTTTTGATCTAACTGGCAAAAATGGTTTCTTTTCCGAACACCCTGTATATAGTTACTTAAGAAAAATTCCTCGCAATTAAGCAAACACACGTGAAAATATTTCCCAACATGTTTACACGTAGTTGTGAAACTACGTTGTAAAGTGTAAGTTAAGCTGTTTTCTGAAACTTTGTGATAATAACATTGGGCAATTTCTCAATATCATAATGGATTGATGAGGCGTTCTTGTAAACAACATCAAGGGAACACTTGGCAATATAAATGTTGATGGTTCCCCCTAATCGCCGAGTTTATTCGGGTAGGTTCGCTACTGTGTAACAGAGCGAGAGGATACTATGTTCTTTATCGTGCCAACGATACGAAGAGCGATCGCAAGGAAATCGGTTTAATTGCCTTGCATTGACCATTTATGGCGGTTTGGGTGAATCCCACTAGGGAATTCCTGCAAGATCGGTCATTATCAAGCAAAGTTGATAGAATTATGTGTTCGTCGAAAGATTCCCACATTTTTTCATATTTGCTTTTAGGAAATAATTGAACATATCTGGTTGAGCCTGATGGGGATCAGCGATAACATCGAGACTGTGGCGCCCTTTTTTAAGCATTTTTCACAAATAAAATTTTTGAGAATCAAGCGTGTCACTGAGCTGACGTCATTGATTGCTTTGATGACTGGTGACGTGTACATCCATCTGGCAAAATAGGTTTTTATCAGTGCTTAAAAGCCAATTTCCTCATAATCATGGGGGAAATTTGAAGATTACTTAAGACATGAGCTGTCGGTTTTCACTAAGTAATATTTTCTAAAAACCCTGAATTATCTAGAAATCCTTCTTTCGAACCTACCGGGAATGAATTACATCCGATTAGTTACTTAGAAGTTGGGAAATTTCCCCAGCTGTTCACACTAAATCACGTTTTCGGGAATTGAAGTAATTTGTGGAAAACAGTTTTATTGGCCTGGATTGGATGAACGGAAACTACCAGGAACTTAATCAATAGGTTGGGAATTTTTTCTTTGATTTTTTGGTTGTTTCTAATGAAAATCTGGCTGGTAAATACCTATCAAGCAACGTGTGAAAAAAATACTTAAAATTCACTGATAAATTAGGTTTGAAAACATTTTTTTATCTACGGCTTATCCTTATCAAAGTTCCAAGTATTTATTGGAATTTTACGAGAATTGCGATAGTCAATCATACAAAATGGGCCATGTACTTGTTAGCATAGCGGCAGCCTATGATGATGTAATAATAAACAAACATAAATCCTTCAATTGACAATGATTTTAAGTAATTTCTGGAACACTCGGAGCTTGAGCTGTTTCCAATGTTAACCAACACGTTTATCAGCCGATATATCGGATATAAACACAGATAGAAATTAATCGAGCGGGCTTAAGGAGCGGCAAAGAGGCTTGTTCTTTAAACTATCCGGGTAAAGGTGGGTGGAGGCTTGTTTTTAAGTTTATACTTGCGCTGGATCGGGAGTTAGGAATTTTTAAGCAGCAGGTGCAGTTGCCCGAAAACGCTCAGTTTCCAAATCAGCAAAAATCTGGATTTGGTGCGATTCTAATGATTTTTTTAGGATTTTTAGATTCGTCTTCTGTAGATTGTCGAAGCTTCAAGTTGCTACTTGTGTTAGGTTGGAAGTTAGCAATTGTTCACGTAGTGGGCGCATTTGAGTTAAACCGCTCATTTTAGTTCAATTAGTTATTAAAAATCATCATTTTGCGCGATTTTAACAAAATTTCCCGGATTTCGGTATTGAAGTGTCTTCTACAGACCCTGAAGGTTTCAGCTTTCTGCTTGTTCTAAACTCAAAGTTACGAATTTTTATGTCGTGCGTTCACTTGGGTGGAAACATTTTCGGCCATCAATTACCAATTCGGTAACATTTAGGGTTTTACGCAATTTGAGTCATTTTTTTAGAGTTTGGAGATTGCAGTGTTTCCTAGAGACTGTGAAAGTTTCAGGTTTCTACTTGTTTTAAGTTCAAAGGTGGACATTTTTCAAGCGGCGGGTGTATTTGTGCAAAAACTCATTTTT